CCGGCCCGGCCCGGCGGCCGCCGCTGACCCCCGTCCCCTTCCCCTGCAGGACTTCTCCCCCGCCTCCCGGCGGCACCGGACCGTGGAAGACTTCAACAAGTTCTGCACCTTCGTCCTGGCCTACGCCGGCTACATCCCCTACCCGCAGGAGGTGAGGGGGCACCGGGCGGGTTCCCCCCCGGGGAGGCCCGGGCGCTTTCCCGGTCCCGCGGCCGCAGCGGGTCCTCCGCAGCAGCCGTCTGCCGGGCCGTTTTGTAAAAGCGGCCCTTGCGAGGAGGTGACGCCTCCGCGCCGGCTCCCTGAAACAAAAGGGAGAACTAGAGCAGCCGGGTGGCCGCTTTTGGGGGGGGAGAGGAAAGCGTGGAGCCCCGGCACCGCCGCCTCGGTCTCGGTGGGGCCTGGGCGGCCGCGGGCCACGGCTCGGCCCGGCTGGAGGTGCCCGCGGCGGGGCAGGTCGCAGGGAGAGCGGGAGCTTGGACTGGGGCGAGAGCAAGCAGCGCCTCGGGGGAAAGGGCGCAGCGCTGAGCCGAGTTAACGCTTTTACCCACTTCCTCGACGTTTTCCAGGAAACGCCGCTGAGGAACAGCCCCAGCCCTCCCAACAGCACCGGAGGCACGATTGACAGCGATAGCTGGGACCCCCGGTTCAATGACATCCCCTCCGCCGTTTCCCTGCCCGCCAAGAACAGAAAGAACTTCAGTCAGCTTAAGCGAGCGAAACCGTACGGTTCCCTGTTCCAGCGGGCAAAACCCGGCAACTTCCTGCCGGAGCGGAAGCAAATCGATAAGATCAGGAAGAAGAAAAAGCTGAAGAGGAGGGAAACGGAGGTGTCTGCAGAGGAGGACTACGAGGAGAAGCTGCTGGAGCTGGAGGCGGAGGACTCTTACGTAGAGACGCCGATGAGCCCCTCGTCGGAGGGTGACCCTCAGTCTGCGACCGAGCACTGCTCGGTGTGGGACTCGGACACGCCTTCCAGCGTCTCCTACCCTGCCGTGACGGCCGAGCCGACGGTGGAGATCCAGAGCGTGGGCAAACGAACGGTCATCCGGCAGGGCAAGCAGGTGGTCTTTCGGGATGAGGACGGCACCGGCGATGACGAGGACATCATGGTGGATTCAGGTAGGTGGCCTGGCTGTCGGAAGAGGATCAGCCAGGTGGAAGTGGCGGTGCCGCTGCTGATCTCTGCGGCGCTTTACTTGTAGCGTGAGGATAACGCCACGGTGCACTGCCTGGGCAGCTTTAAGTGGCGGTTGGGGGTTCGGGGGGAAGGGGGGGACCGCTTGGCTGCTTTTGCGATAAACTGAGTGAAAAGCTGCGACTTCGTAGAAGCAGCGGGTTCCACTCTCCTGGATTATGGCCTCTCTTGTGCTGCCGAGAGTCTCTTCCCGTGCAAGAGAGACCTGGAAAGATCAGCAAAGTGCCTGTCTTTGAAACCCAGGCAGTTAATTTAGCGCGGAAGGAGAGTAAATTCCCGGCGTGGTCAAGAGGAGTTGGCAGTTAAAAACATAGCTTGCCATTTCTCTTTGCAGATGACGACTCATGGGACCTAGTCACTTGCTTCTGCATGAAGCCTTTTGCCGGGCGGCCGATGATTGAGTGTAATGAGTGCCACACCTGGATCCACCTCTCCTGCGCCAAAATCCGCAAGTCGAATGTCCCAGAGGTCTACATATGTCAGAAGTGCCGGGACTCCAAGTTTGACATTCGCCGTTCGAACCGCTCCCGGACGGGCTCGCGCAGGCGCTTTCTGGACTAGGGGAGGGAGGCGCGTGCTGGTGCGCTGCTTGGGCGGGCGGGTGAGCTGCCGACGCCGGCCGGGAGGCCGGAGAGAGCTCCCCCGAACTGCTGCTGCTCAGGCGGAAGGGCTGCCCGGCCGGCCTGCGGTAACAGGGACGAGGAATCGCCAAGTTGTGGGCAGCCGGGGCTGGAAGAGGCCGACTGGTCAAAACTGCTGCTAGATACTGATTCGCTCGAGGCACAGACAGCTCTCTGGGTTTGGTGGGGTTTTGTCCGGTCACAACTATGAATTAGGTGATGTCTGCGGAATGTATAATACCTTTGCCACGTATGTTTTCTCATCCCATCGGGAAACTGCGAACCTTCTCTGTGCTAGGAAACTCGAGGAGGGAATCCTAGGAGGAGGAGGGAATCTGTGTGAAGAGTCTGAAAAGTAAATGGCCATGTGTTTTAATTTTAATGTAATACTATACCTGCCCATTTGTCCATATATATCAATCTTAGATATTCTAAGGCTCCATGGGAGTGAGTGTCAATACATACCGACCTCTGCGCAATCTGCCTCCTCTTCAGCGGGCCCCGGGCGGTAGGGGTGTCCTGTGATTTGGCACTGTTCAAGTGAAAACGGGGCTTCCCTCTGTGCTGAGGGACCCGCGCATTTCAAGGAAGAGAGCAGCTCTTTTTCTGGACAGGCAGTGCTGGGGATTAGCGACATTGGATTTCTTGCTAGGTGGTCTCTTCTTACGGTGATTTTTCGTGACTTTGTTTTGCATGATTGGCTCCAATGTGTGTATGGGGGGGATACTGTTCGCTCCATTTCCTGGCCCGTCGTTAAACTCTAAGGTGCTGTTTTAAGACGACGATGACCCTCCATTTTCTCAGCCCAGAATTCAAACGTGGACTGTAAAAGGGGCCATAGTAAACTTAGAACCTGGCAGGGCTGGTTTGGGATTTGATCATTTCCATCCGAGTACTACAGCTGAGTTGACTTTTGGTTTTGCTGTTTGTTTTGAGACTGGATTTGTAATCAAAAAGATGGAATCTTTAACCTATTGGTTGCAAATTACACAGATAAAAGCAAATGCAGGCTATGCAGCTAGCAAAATGAAGTGCAATGAAGATCCATCCAGTGCGGGGGAGGACAGGAGAGCACTGAGGCCCCTGCCGACGCTGTGCTCCCTCGACGGGACTTCCTGGGGCCTCAGCCCAAGGGAAATCTGTTCAGAAACTTGACAGGGAGTCGAGGCTCCTACGCAAGGCTGCTGAGCCAGCGGCACTGTTCCTCGATGACCAAACAGAGCGAGCCGTATGTATCGCACAAATTCGGTTGACATGTCGAGGTATTTCTCTAAGTTATGCCTGATGGACAACATGTGCTCTGTCTGGTGAGACCGGGAGGCAAGGGGAGTCCCTGGCTGATACCACGGCTGAAGCGAGACTAGCTGTACTGGTTGGTACGTGTCCACGTTAGTCCTGCAGATGATACACCGCATTAAGACCACTGCCTTATCAGAGTACTGGCTCATCAGGAGATGCATCCTGGTGATGACTAAGGGTTTTCCAGTACACAGAGTCAGGTACCCTCCTTCAGATGTCTGACACGGGGCTGCCAAAGCTTCAGGCAGACAGTCCTGCACGGCAGCACCCCAGGGCTTTGCTGTGTGGGACGCGGGGGTGTGAAGGATCCGCAGGCCCGGGTTGGGATGACAGAACAGCACGACGTGCAACTGTATGCTTCTCTATAAAAATCCCGTTCCACCGAGCTGCAACAACTGACTCTAGGTTCTGAAAACCAGCTCCAGCTTCTGCAAAATCTTAAGACCGTGACCATGGTACGCTGCCTTCCAGAAGCTGCATGGAACCACCGAGGAGTTTGCCAAAGACTTGCCCCTGCCGGCTGCCTGACTGTTTTAGCAGCCAGAAAAATAACCAAAGTTCTCAAATGCCACCATTTCCCTCTGCAAACAGAAAGGCTTTGGAAGATCCCGGTCGCAAGCTGCGTGAGGGTTGGACCTGCTCTGCAATTGGT